ACATAAAATGTAAAAACTTAAATATCTTAGAAACAGTAGCCAATCAGTTGTTTTAATTGTCATATTTGAATTCAGCACATCAAAATACATAATAAATAGCACATTTTATTTCTGAAGCAGACGACTTCTCAAAAATTGTAGACCAGTGTTATTAATTTATGTGGGCTTGCGGCTAGAGCTGGTCAAAACTCAGAATTTCTGTCCTGTGGGAAACTCATATATTTTGAAATTTTGCTTTCATCCTGGATTGGGCAAAAAAGCAAAATAATGAATTGTTTTGCAGAACAGAAAGTTGTGAACATTTTTTATTTAAAAATGTTGAATGTTTTAAATAGGGATTAAGTGCTTAACTCTGTTTAGGCATGAAAATCTGACTAGGCACTTATCTGCCTCTATAGGCACCTAAATATATTTGAAAATCTGATCCTAGTCACTTTTGAAATTGAGATTTAGATTATTTTAAAAGTTTTATCCCTAACCTTTCACTGAGTTTTACAATAAAAAAAAAGTATGGATAAAACAAAGATCTTATTTAAATGCAAAATTACCAGATTCCTGATGACAATGCTGCAGGTAAAGAGGATCTAATTTAAAGGCATTTGTTAAGTCTGATCTCTTCTTCACCCTGCACAAAAAGACCAATATGGATTAGATTATCACATCATTGTCTCACCTAAGACAAAAGACAATTAATAGGTGATTAGATAAGGAAATCAGATAAGGAAAATCGGTTTCAGTCACATATTTCCAATGTACTGCCTATTCCTTATTTAGGGTCCAATCCTGCAAACCTTTATTTTCTACATTGTCACTGCTCACATGAAGCCCTGAAGTTAGGGTTTGCAGCATTGAACTCTTACTGCATATTTAAAAAACAGACAGGAAACAAACACACCCAAAGTCCTTCCACAGGGAAAACAGGCACTCACACCAGAACATGTGAGCTAGTTAAGACAACAGTAAAATTAGTGGTGAACGCAAGATTTCCAGCTATATGCTGAAGCAATTGCATTGTCAGAGGTACCATGGCTTCGAAAGCTTGATATAATGTAATGGTCTCTGAAAGACAAGCTCCATTGAGTGTAAAACTAGTGGGAAGTGTAGCCGGAATAACTTTCAAGGTGCCACAGGACCCTCTGTTGCTTTTTACAGATTCAGACTAACATGGCTACCCTCTGATACTACACACTCTATATGCACTCAATATCATGTTCCAAAAGATAACATTCATTCCTTATATTTAAGGAGATGAGCAGGTGCATAATTTTAAGTGGATGAGCAGCAGTTGAAATCAATGGGACTTGTGCACAAATTTACATGCCTGCTTAATTATTTGCCTGGGCCATGTTGGGTCAGGAGGAAACTGTAACCATACTATGAAGGTATGAAGCAATGAACCATTAGAACTAGAGATCCACCTCTTCTTTTGCAACATCCAGTATTGAGCAATATCAGAGAAAGGACATCTGATTAAACATTTGCTATGATGTGGCAATTTTTTCAAAAGGTGCTTTAATGTTTTCAACTCCCACTCTTCTAGCTCATAGGTGGCTATTTAGAAACAATTGTGTTGGTGAGCCTGCAGGTACTAAACGGACGTTATTGTTTTTAAAGGGGATATGGTCTTTCCCAGGTAAAAGACTCAAAGATTCTATCTGACAATACGAAAATGTCTATTTGAGAGGGCTTTATTTAAAAAAGGTCTAAAATCCTAAGAAATAAAGCCAATAGAGCTGCATCTGCACACACCAGGTCTAAATTTGATCCTGAATAGTTAAGATTCCCCACAATGAATTTTAGCTTCTAATACTGAATACATCTGAGGGTTTAAGTCAAGCCCTTACCTTCATTTGTGCATACCACCATGTCTGATTTAAGGTCTCTGTACATATTTTAGAAAGTTCCTTTGATACCTTATGGGGGTTGAAGCTTTCTTAAAGATCTGAAGTCATGCTAATAGACCCATTAAGATCTAGCTGGCTGAGATTTGCACATTAAAGCGTCATACCTCCAAGTGCACAATAAAAATCCCTCTGAACAGAATAATGAAATCATTATGAAAAGTAGTTACTTATTTTGATTGCACAACTGCAGCTTTTAAAGACCTCAATTATCATGTCTATTTTAATTGAAAAAGAAAATAATCAAAGTGATTACTTCTCATTATAGATTAACTCCTTGTAAAATTTTATTTTAAACTATAAAAAACATTTTCCTTTTTAAAAAAAATATGTTCAAAATCCTTTAGCGTGCTGTAAGCCAGGTTGTGAATCTAGAGCACACCGGCTTCCTGCACACTGACTGGCTGTGTGGACCCTGCTATCGCACATTAAAAGTTCCTTAGTGCATTTCGGAACAGCTGTAGGTCAAAGTGCATTTGGACCTTTTAGTGTATGATAGCAGGGTCTAACTGGCCAGTTAGTGCGTGGCAGGCTTGTGAGCTGTAGATCACACCCTGGCTTGCTGCACACTAAATTGCCATGTAGACAAGCCCTCAGGCTCCTTTGAAAATCCCAACCTTTATGAATATATTTCCATCTGATGTTTCACCTTTGTATTGGGTAGAATTCCCATTCTTCAGAGAGAGCTGATGTTTAAACCTGGACTGTGTTTAGGTTCCAGTTCAGGGTTTGGGTTCAGGCTTGGCTTCAGGCCCCTCTTCAGCAAAGCACTTACTCCTATACTTACCTTTAAATACATGTTTAATTCCCTTTTAAATCAATGGGACTTAAGCACATGCTTAAGTGTGTTGCTGAAGTGAGGACCTAATGGCACCAACATCTTGCAATGTATTCTGATGAAGCTTCAGCCCAAAGTGGCAGAAATCTTCCCAGCTCTCATGAGATTTTCCTCCATACAGAGTCAAAATCTTATGGGAGCAGCTGCTTTTCTAAGATCTTCTATCTGGTGGAATCAGAAATATGTCCTTCTGGTTTTAGATCAGACCCACAACCAAAATTATAGGGATGCCTATGCGTTTCAGGCTGTGGTTTTGAAGTGTTCAGACACCCGTTATAACTACAGTATAAATGCCTTGGCAGATTAGACAGGCAAGAATAAGAAATTGGCCCTGTGCGTGCATGTGAATGGATGTAAACACCATTGTATTTGAATCCGAGGGAGAAATCTAATCGAGCAAATTGCTACAGGAGGTCATCTACAGTAAGTATCACAGCTTTGCTTAGAAGAGACTTCTGCAGTTGCTTTGCAGAAGAATTTGGGAGCGCTGGATTGTTCCAGCAGTGCTTTCCCCCCCCTTTGACTGATTAACTGGGTCTATGGGAAAGGTAATTCATTGGAAGGATGAGGCAGAGAAAGTGACTGATATAAAGGATTAGCTAGAGAAAAAAACAAACAAAAAAGCCCCCCACAATAGTGCTATGAAGGGTAACTCATCCTGGCAGCACATAGATAATGAATGTGTGTGAACAATAACACAAAGTGGTAATCCAGTAGGGCAATAATGAAACCTTTCAAGTTATTGGGGGAAAATATAGCAGGATTAATAATGGAATATAGTGCTGCCCACATATAGAAGATCATATGTCTGGAGACAGTTGCTTTCATGTATGGAGGTTTGTTTCCCCCAAGGCTTTCCTGTGGGTCAGAAATCAACATTGCTATATTTTTATGATCAGAATAAAAAAGTAGGTCTCATTGGAATCATTCAGTGTTATTGAGGAGTAAGATGAAGGTATTCTGCTGCTAGTGTTATTGGCCTGCCTGGAGTGGTTTTGCTCTTTCTTGATACAAACAGGATCATTTTAATAATAATAAAAAATCAGACTAATAAAATAATAATACTAATTAATAGTGCATTTAAAGAGAAAGGAAGAGAGACCCTGACGGCTGTATATACTTCTGAACATCCATTAACTTCAACAGGAACTGCAGATTCTCACTCCTGTGAAAGTCAGGCTACTTTTATTTAGGTGCCTAAACTAGGATTAATGTGTCTAACTGTAAGCACCCAGGTTTGGACAAGATTTATATGGACCTTGCTCTGTGGACTGAGAACTAAATAGGTATAGTTTATCCATTCGCAGTGAATTGCAAACTACCTCTAGGGCCTGAGACTGTATGCCCCTGGAGTCTGGGAGGAACCCTATCTCATTCCATAGGATTATGCACAAACCAACGCACAAAGTGTGAGTTCACTGTTCCAGTGCTGTCTAGAAAGTTGTTCTACATCATAGAATTTATCTGTCATGATAAACCGCCACCACAAGCCCTGGGAAATCCAGTTTAAAAAACTACATTCATAATGTTAAAGTTGCCAAGTAAAGAATTCAAAATGAAGAGAGTTTGGACTTTACAAAGTTAAGGTTGCCCGGAATTTTAAGTAAATTCTTTTAAGGTTATTTTTTACAATTGTGCATACATGCATATATAAAGATTTTTAAATGTCTGGGCTTTGGCAGAGTAGGAGCAATACAATTCAAAAAATGACTTTGTAATTGTTTTTACATACTTTTAACTTGGCTTCACAGAATTATGAGTGGAAGGGATTAAGGGGGAGATTTTCCAAGGGATGCACAAATGTAAGTGAGGCATCTCACTGCTGTTTGTGCCTTTGAAGATCTCCTCTTAAAGGCCCGAGTCTCCTCTAACTTATGCCAGTTTTACATTGGTGTAACTCCATAGATTTATGTCCGTGCAAGCAAGAGCAAATTCATACTCTAACAATGTCTAGATATTGCACCATTCAGTAGTTATTTTGTGATTTACACTACTTTCCTTTCAAAGAAATGAAAAGTGTTTGCTCTAACTGCTCATGAATGCAGCTACTGAGTTTCTTCTTATAACTTTTTGTTGCCATAAGAGGCCCATTAATTTAGGAGAACTGAATTGAGAGAGAAAGCCAAGAGTATCATGGTTCATTTCCTCACTTCCATCAGTGGCTTCTCAGGCTAGGTCTACACTACCCGCCTGAATCGGCGGGTAGAAATCGACCTCTCGGGGATCGATTTATCGCGTCCCGTTGGGACGCGACAATCGATCCCCGAATCGACGCTCTTACTCCACCAGCGGAGGTGGGAGTAAGCGCCGTCGACAGAAAGCCGCAGAAGTCGATTTTGCCGCCGTCCTCACAGTGGGGTAAGTCGGCTGCGATACGTCGAATTCAGCTACGTTATTCACGTAGCTGAATTTGCGTATCTTAAATCGACTCCCCCCTGTAGTGTAGATGTACCCTAAGACACTTGGTTCTCTGAATCATGAAAGGGAGTTGAGGGGGAAGCAAGAAAATGAATTCCGCCCTTCTCCCTTCTAATGTCTACACAGAGACACACATCTCATCATGAGATAATTACACTCTAGGGCTTGGTTCTAAACCTCAAAATATTCTTTATTGAGATGTGACTACCAGTAAGAATGAGGCAGAATCAAAACACCAGAAACAGGGACTATTTCTGTTCTGCATTTGCACAGCACCTAGCACAATGGGGGTCTTAGTTCATGATGAGGGCTCCTAGGTGCTACAGTGATGAATAATCATAATAACCTACTGATACCTACCAAAAAGAAGTACATTTGCAGTAGGACACTGATCTGGACAGTTTAGAGTTAGCAACCCTAACCTACGAGCTGAAAAATTCCTATTGCATGGTGATATGTACATTTGTAACTAGGGATGAAGCCATAGGCGGAAAAGTCTCATGTTTTTACACATTAGTAATGCTGAAGATAAGAGAGAGGGAAAGTATTGATAATTAGTACTGTTCCAGATTTTTCATGTGATTTATTTTAAATGAAAAATGGCCTTTTTTCCAAAACGAAAATGTTAGTTTTTCAACAAAAAATGTAAAGCCATTTTTTTTTCAGTTTTTGAAAACTGAATGATTTTAAAAAAAACGATTTTTTTTTTAAAAAAGTTTCTTTTGAAAATTTTCATGGAAAATATTTACCATTTCCTGAGCAGCTCTTTTGGTAATCAATATACTCAGATGGTGGGTGACTGCGAGATGTTGGCAATACACTTAATTTTGTTTGGAAACTCTAAGTCCTAGCTCTGGGATTGTCTGTTATGAGAATTTTATATTATTCTGTTTATTAATATTATTATTATTATTAATAATATTCTCCTGGTGATGATGATTGTTTCCTTTAGGCCATTTTGCTTTGTGTCCCCGATGTACCTGTAGGTTTTTCTGTGGCACCTCTTTGGAACACAAAATACAGTCTTGCTCCTCACACATGAATAATGAAAATAATTGAAAAACATTTACAAAGGCTTCTTTGAATTGCACTGCTCTGAATCTACTAAAGTCCAGACTCTATAAACAAAGGTGTTTAAAGTGTGCAGTCAAGACTCAGAGAGACCATATCACAATAGAGAAAGAAGCTTGGAGTAATGTGCAATTCATTTCTGTAAATGATGGGCACAAAATGGAATAAATCTGAATCTCCTGAATGTTCATGTCTAGCTCCAAACTTCAGGGCTCAGACCCATCTCTGCTTTTCTACCACCTCAGTCCAACAATTTATCATACTACTGTGAATCATTCACTTAGGCAAACACTTGACAAAACTCCATATTTCTATGTGACAAAGGGAATAAGTGTTTAGAAAGAGTGTGCTTCACCATAAAGTTTACTATTTCTGACAAACTTATATATCCAGTATTACTTACCACATAGCAGAGCAGTCAAAATTCACTAGGAGCCATTTGTGAGGGTTAAAGTTAAATGAATCTGCAAACTGACAGGGTTTAAAAAAAATGAAGAATTAGAAAAAATATGGGTCAGAGTCCTCAAGTTATAAAAGCACTGTCAATTTTCCCAATTGCACCCAGATTCAGGACAGCACTAAAACATAAACAAAATGCTTTCCTGAAATTCTAAAGTGAATGAGAGTTATATGTGCATGCTGAGTGAAATTCATCCCGTACAGAGGACCAGCAAAAGGAATATCTACCATGTAAGCATCATGTAAACCTTCAGGGGTCAACAGGACTACATGCTTGCTCAAAGTTATACATATGCTTAAGTACACTTGGCTGAATCAGAGCCATTATGCATACACACAAGGGAGCAGAATTCAGGGTGCTTGGACAACCTAACTTCTGACATCGCCTAAATCTTGAATGTTTGACTTGTGCCATTGATAATGTGCTTTTAATATAGATTTTTTGAACTTTATTTTAATGTATATCATATATAAACATTATCTCAATGTAAACCAAAAACTCATTATAAACAAAAGACATCCCAAATTTTGTTTTTTAGCCCATTTTCTACTCAAGAGTTCCTAGATTTCACTCTTTCACAGAGTGAGCAATTAATATTATAAACATAGACATATATTTTATGTGTGTGCACACACAGGTAATATAGATTTTGATCTAGAATTGTGTTTCAGTCAGTCTAACCACAGAATTAAAGGTGGTCAAAAATCATTTTTCCCTAATTTTTTTTTCATTTAGTCAAAGTCATTTCTCATCTAAACTAAATTCATACACCTCTCCCCCCCACTTTCAACCAGTTCTACACAGAACACATAGCTATACGTTAAATTTTTGACAATATCAACTTCGCATTACACGTATTCAGTATAGAAGCATCCCATGCAGTGAAAGGCATGAAGGACATTTGTGTTGAAAGTCTTCTCCTTTAGGTCCTGTGGCAGCAGTTGATGTTGTACAGCAGGGACACAAAGGAGAAGTGGGAATCTTGAAGCACCAGTCGCTAACTAATAGCTATTTTTTCACATTTGTTTCTCATTAACTTCCTCATCTTTGGTGAAAGGGCAGTGGTTGCCCATGTTGGAGGAGTTTTTTATCCTTCTAATATCTGAGGTAGGGAATCTATTCAGAGCTGTTGAATAGTTGCTACACTGACAGATGCTGGCTGTGCAATGGATGCTGATTCATTTCCTACAGGAACCAATAAAAATAATAAATAAAACCCACACAGGAAATTACAGCAAGCTTAATTTGCTGATAAAAAAAAAAAGAATGAGAGAGAAATGCTTCATTTGTTAGGTTTTTCCTCTTTTATTAGTCTACCTATCAGAGCTGCTCTGTTTAAATTTCTGTCTTTACCAAACAGTGATATTTTCTCCACTGACGTGGAAGACAAGGACTTATCTGACTGTGTGAGGGGAGCATCAGGAAATTGCAGCACCCTTATCTAAGCAACTAAGTGCCAAGTGACTCAGTAAGAGGAAAAGAAAAAGGAACCTGAGAGTTATTGGAAGAAAATTTCAACTGACTCATTTTCAAATATTAAACACCGTCTGTTATAGACACAGCCACAGTCTGGCCTTATATGTAGGGTTGCCAATTTTGGTTGGACGTATTCCTGGAGGTTTCATCAAATGACAAAATCTTTAATAAAGATGAATCTTTAATTTCTGGAGACTCCAGGACAATCCTGGAGGCTTGGCAACCCTGTGGTATATGCCCCGTAGGAGGTATATAGTAATACTTCTATGTCTTGCTTTCAAAACAGGTGAGATAGTGGTTGTTATATTTTAAAAACTTTATAGAATTAGGATGTTAAAATGTTCTCTACCAGGATATTTAAGCAAAAGTCATCTTTTCTCATGCTGGGTTGATTCAGTGCTACTTGGTATTTTGAACAGCAAATTTTTTGTGCGTGTGTAAAAATTGCAGAAATGGTTTTACCGGACATGGTAACCATTATAAACTAAAGCCATTTTTGATATGATAAAATTGTGAGAGTTTGCAAAGCTAAGTTTTGCTTCTCTGAGGAGCAAGTTTGTCTGTGCTCAACTCTGCATTTTTGGGCAAATTTTATGCTCTAAAAGCAGCTGTAAGGATTCACTCCCAAGAGGAGCATTTCAAAAATGGATCTATTGTTCTCAAATCTTTTAATGTTACCTTATTTATACTGTGACAGGGTCAGGCCAGATAGCTACAGGAGAGTGATCCTATTGGGATCCAGGAAGTGGGCAGGCAAAGCCCGCCCACTGCTAAAGGATCCCCCCCAGCCTAAGGGGGGGTACACAGGACCTGGAGACCAAAAAATTACGGGGGACAACTAATAAAAGGACAGGGACAGGAGTGAGGTCAAAGGGTCAAACAAAGCAAACCAGACAGGGACACCAAGCAGAGAACCTCGGAGAGTGCCCACTGCTCCTCGAAGGCGTCAAGGGAGCCAGTGGATACAGGAGAGTGATAGAAGGCAGATATATTAGCCCCAGATTAAGTAGGTCCCTTTTCCCTGGGTAAGGTAACAGGGAAGGTTCCAGGACAATCAGGAACTTTCTGGAAACAATTAAGGCAGACAGGCTGATTAGAACACCTGCAGCCAATCAAGAAGCTGCTAGAATCAATTAAGGCAGGCTAATCAGGGCACCTGGGTTTAAAAAAGGAGCTCACGTCAGTTTGTGGTGCGAGTGTGAGGCACTGGGAGCAAGAGGCGCAAGGAGCTGAGAGTGAGAGGGTGTGCTGCTGGAGGACTGAAGAGTACAAGTGTTATCAGACACCAGGAGGAAGGTCCTGTGGTGAGAATAAGGAAGGTGTTTGGAGGAGGCCATGGGGAAGTAGCCCAGGGAGTTATAGCTGTCATGCAACTGTTACAGGAGGCACTATAGACAGCTGCAATCCACAGGGCCCTGGGCTGGAACATGGAGTAGAGAGCGGGCCCGGGTTCCCCCCAAACCTCCCAACTCCTGATCAGACACAGGAGGAGTTGATCCAGACCGTGGGTTCCACCAGAGGGGAAGATCTCTGAGGCGAGCAAATCTGCCAATAAGCGCAGGACCCACCAAGGTAGAGGAGGAACTTTGTCACAATACAAATTCCTCCCAAATGTGCCTAAAACCACAGTTATGAGTTTAGGTTGCTGCCTTTTGTAGCTTAGCCTGTAGGGCAAACTTACTGAATGATGACTAGATGGGCCCAAAAACCAAAACACTGGACATGCAGCCCTTTCTCTAAATTTAGGGAGGATCTGGATTGAATTTAACAGCTGACTCCTGTCTTGATAGTTGTCTGAATCAACAATCCAACATTTTGATATAATCCTTCCCTACTTGGAACTTAAAAGAAGTTTATGTCCTGATCAAGATCTAAGCTGTGGGAAGGAGCAACTCCCAAGTCCTCTTGGAGTCGTTTCTGCTGATTTGGGGATCATTTGTGGGACAGGACAGGGACTAGACTGGCTGGGTGCAAGGGCTTGTGGTAAAACACACAAACCTACGCCTCCTCCTCCAATATCTTTTCACAGTGCCAGAGGAGGTGCTGGGGGGCCAGACAAAGGAAATGCTCTTCGCCAGCATTTACACAAAGTTTGGTTTCTATCCATCACTTTTGATATTTTATATAGAAGTGCAGCATCTTGATCAAGCATGGACTCTGGGTTACAGTCACAGGAAAGCAGAGGTTTAAGAATCTATGGGGCCTTTCTTTTTTGTCAGCTGACAAGAGAGTGCATAGGAGGGTTGCAGGAATCTCTTGATTCTACGAAGTACATTCTGGTTTACTAAAGAATATTATGTGAGGTCTGAAATGAAAGCCAGTGTCACATTGATTATTAATATCATTGTGAAATGTATGTACAGATACTATGTAAGGAGTTATGGATACACACTGAAAATATGTTCTTAAACTTTGTATCAAGGTATTAGACACAAGGAAGAGTGAAAAACAGGTTTGCTGTCAGACTGAGATGTCTCTCCATCTATTTGTTTACATCTAATTTGAGTCTTGTGTTGTTTACAATGGGTCTCCGATCTCCAGTCTGAACTGAATGTAAATGAAGGATTGTAAAACAGAACTAACAGGACAATGAACACAGCATGGGCAGAGAGGTACATATCAAATATTTACTTGAGTATATTTGGGTAGGGAGGAAAGGGATGCCCTGGCACCCTTCTCTGAAGAAGTAAGAGGATAGCGCTTTTGCTTAATGAAAAAAAGGGGTGTACGTTGGAGAGAACTTTGGGTGAGATAAACATCTTTAGATTAAAGTAACTTGTTAGTCAAGTTTAGTGTCTAGAAAGCATGTTATGATTTTGTTTTCCATGTAACCATTTGTTTCCAATATTCATAGATTCTAAGGCCAGAAGGGACCATTGTGATCATCTAGTCTTACCTCCTGTATAACACAGGGCCATAGAACTTCCCCAAAATAATTTCCATGATTCTTTTCTGAACCCTCTCCAATTTATCAATGTCCTTCTTGAATTGTGGGCACCAGAACAGGACACAGTATTCAAGCAGCAGTCGCACCAGTGCCAAATTCAGAGGTAAAATAACCCTTCTGCTCTTATGCGAGACTCCCCTGTTTAATTGTCCCAGGATCTCATTAGCTCTTTTGGCCACAGAGTCAGACTGGGAACTCCTGTTCAGCTGATTATCCTCCACGACCCCCAAATCTTTTTCAGAGTCACTGCTTCCCAGGATAGAATCCCCGATCCTGTAAGGCTGCCCTACATTCTTTGTTCCTAGATATATACATTTAGCCATATTAAAATGTGTATTGTTCACTTGCACCCAGTTTACCAAGTGATTTAGATATTCTTACTCACTATTACTTGAATCGCTATTCTTTGATAATAAACTTCTTCTCGTTTTCACTATATATATATGTATACATACACACACACACACCCCCCCTATGTTAAGCAAAGTGATGGTCCTCAGTTGAATCTTACAAGCTGGTATGTACTGTCCTTTGCGAACAGCAGCTCTGGCAATACTGTGAGTGTCCAGTGGATAAGGGGCTGGAAACTTCAGGGAATACTGTGAGTATTCAGGGGTTGGTGTGTGCCTGTCGCTCCTTGTACACAGAGAGCGAGGCCTGCGGGGGGGCCAGGAAGGCTTGTACTCCCAGAGGTTGTTGGTTTCAGGGAGCTAATCCACAGGCAGGCACAGACAAGACTGCTTCACACTAAGGGTAGGTGGTGCTGAGGTCCCACGCAACCCTGGGTACCCCTGGGGAGCATCACAAACCTCCACGCCATTTAGAAGATGTCGGAATTCAGGGCAGATGAAAGCACTCCCTGCATATGCTGCATCAATATGCATCCAGATATTCTCCTTATTGCCTGGGAAAAAATGAAGGAAATTAAATAAGCAAAGACAGCTTTTTTCTTTAAAACATTTTCTTTGCATTAGACCAAGTGACTAGAGGAGATTTGCAGTCCCTGCAATTTTGTTTTTCTTTGCCATTCATATTTTATCAATTCAATTAGGACAGAGATCTAAGAGGTCACATCACATAGGCCTCTGTTCTGCTAAAGAATCCATGCACACAGACCCTTCCCATCTCCACAGTTCTATTAACAGGATTGAGCCCTTAGACACTCTGATTACTATTAACTTGCAATACAAAATCTTAATTTATGATCAGTTCAGGATGCTTAAAATATGTATTTCTTTAAAAAAAACTAGTGATGTTAATTAATTTCTATAAAGAAAGCTCTCTATTTTTGTAACTGGAATAGCAACACAAGTTTTGACTTTGCTGGCCCCTTTTAGCAAGGGTGAGAGCTCCAAGATGATACATTCTTATATGACATGAGTTTCCAGGGACCTAACAGAGTGAACAAACTACTTACAGCAACGAATTTATTTTGGTATATTAAACTATAAACAAACTTTGTTCTTACCCAAGAGCAAACTTTGACATATTACAAATCTATTACTTTAAATTATTCAATAAGTTGTTTTTGCAAAAATATTTCAGAATATGGACCTCATTGTTCACTCTATGCGACTGTTCATTGACAGTAAGTCATATGTAATATTCCTGGTCCGTGACTGGACGGCATTGAAACAAGCCAACAAAATCAGTCACAACAGCCACCAAATACTCTGGTGCATATTTTTTTTACATTATATAAACACACACACACTCAAATCAATATTCATGTACAAAGCTTAGTGACACAAGTACTTGGATTCTTGTGAACTAAAATTCATTTGCATAAATGTTTGCAAAAAACACATTAAAATTGTGTATCTCCTCAAAGTTAATTCTCAGCTTTTATTTGAACAAATGTTTGAGATTATTATTGTTGTTTTGCACTGAGTTCACCTGGCTCTGGGTATGTTTCTCATTTTATGACTTATACGTAAGTACACTGAGGGTGAAGTTCACCCCTGTGCAGAAGGGCCAGGACAAAGGCTTGGGCTTCAAGCAGCACACTAGTCTTGTGCTGGACCCCTCTGCACAAGGGCAATTTCACCAAAAGTGATTTTTAAAAGCTCCGCATTCACAGCTTGTTATTCTACCCCTAATGTGATGTGTCCCTATTTTACGATATTGAGTCTGCAGGCTATTTCCTGAACAGTATACTCATTACTAGCTGTTAAGCAAACGATGACAAACAGCCTAGGGGAGCAGGATTAGGAACAGATTGAAGCCCTGAAGCCTGTTTGTACTACATACACGGAAACAAATTATTACAACTCAAGCATTCAAACAGGGCAACACACACTCTCTGTTTTTCCCCCAGATGAATTCACAACACAGCAAATCTCATCCTAGTTTTACCAGGACAGTTCTGGGTTTTCATACAATGTCCCTGTGCCCCAAAACCATCTTTGAAGATGGCCAAAATAGTGACATGAAAAATTGCAACCATCAAAGCATTCAGGGTTTTTTATAACTACAAAATGTTTGTTCTAGACATATTGCTACCCCAAGTGTAATCTATACCTGTATGTCACTCTGATTATGCAGTGAGCACGTGTTTCATACCAACCACTGTTCAAGGCCAAAGTTGTTCATAATTTATCAGGTAACAATCTTGCAATAGGAGTCAATGACTCAATCTAGTCAGTGCAACCCGTCCTGCTCTAACCCCTAGTGGGTAAGTGGGAGGAGGGGCAAGGAAAATACTTTTGTCCCTTTGTTTCTTATTTCTTTCGTCTCTATAGTGGTGGGAAGCAAAGAGACAAAAAATGCCATCCACACTGTTCAATGGTGGAAAACTTGAGTGGACCTGTAGGGGAGGGGGACAGCCCCTGAGGAAGAAGGGGGGAGCACATGCTGGAGGAATGCAGGGATGGCCCCCCTCTATGAGCTCTCTGCCTCCCGTTGGCCAGGCAGAAGAAGATGGGAGCTTTCATTAATCCAGTATTGCCAACTCTTATGGTTTTATCACAGGTGAAGGGATTTCAGAGGGTGTCGGAGCCTGTCTCGAGATGATGCGAGAAGCTCCACCCTCCACATAGCTGGAAGCTGGCAGAGTCTCTCCCCTCCTCTCACCAACCTCATAGGAGGGGAGGATATAGGAAAGAGCCCAGCAGCTGAGAACAACTCCACTCCCTCTTCCCCTTCCCCGCCTGTGAGAAATATGGACAGGATGGTACATCTGCTCCTCTCCTCCCCCTGAAGCACCCGGCCTGGGAAGCAGTAGAGGGGGTGAAGAGCTCCTAGATCTGCCCACCAGCCTGGGAAAGGGGAGTGGGAACCCTGCTGCAGCCCCCCAGGCCTGGGAGCAGGTGGGGCAAGAACCCCAGGAGGAACAGAGGTGAGGCTTGGAGGGTAGGGCCGTACCAGGGGAATGGGGACTGATGGAAGGGCTGAATTGATGGGGGCTGGGAAACTAAACTGAGTCCAGGATGGGGGTGGGGTAAACCAACATAGTGGGGCTGAACAGAGGGGGAAACTTGTGGACAGGATTAATTAGTGCGCAGCAGATGAATAAATAGGTGAGTAAGAGCTCCTGCAGCAAGGGCCAAAATCATTTTATCCAATAAATTGTTTTGCAGATGCTGGGGTCAGGCAGGGAGAGTAAAGAAACTCAAAAGACAGACTGAGAAAACACAATAGAATCTTTTTCTTTAAAAAGTCTCACGACTTTCAGGCCAATCTCATGATTTTTTGCGGGGTCTGACTCATGACTTTTGATCTCCTGATATTGGCAATACTGTTCATTTAAACCCTGGACTGAAATTTTTGGAGCCTCTTGCTCCATTTTTAGTGCCTCATCCTCCGTCCCTGTATTATAGGAGCTGTGTTTATTAGGATGCTGCAGGTCTGATCACCCCCTTGTTTTGGGGATCAGGAAGGAACTTTTCCCATTGGGCTAAATTGGCAGAGGCCTGGTAGAATTTTTTGCCTATCTCACAGCATTATGAAGGCATAGTTAAGGCTAAATAGAAGAGAACTTAGAATTTAACAACAATAACTTGTGTGACTGTTTAGCTTGTTGCAACTTGCGGTTGGTGCAAATAAGAGGCCAAAAAAGCCAGCTCCCAGGAATGAAATAGATCTGTGATTTCATTGGTGGACCTTGGGAAAAGTAGTGATGAAGTCTTTGAGAAATGAGGTCCCTCTTTTGGTATGCTGTATCCGCCTCACAGGAGGCAGGGTGAGAGGATTTAGCAAAGTGAGCTGAATCTTAGAGGTAGGCTGAGGAAGGTCTACCCCTAGTTATTGGCTATATGGTGGGAGCCCTGTAATCCTGCATTGGACCCATGTTAATACCTGGTATATGGGAGACAGGACAGATAACAGTGATACGTTACTAAAGTTGCTGCCTGCCACTTAAACCACCCTTATGTCTCAACTCATTCACCTGTGTGTCCTGACTGATGCAAAGCGACAGAGGGGCACAAGGGAAGACATTGAGTTCAGCCTTTTTTCAATCTGCTTCAGGTGGAGCTTTTCTGACCCATGCAGAACAGACCAAAGAAAGGAGCCACAAAGTCAAGCACGTAAGCATTTTGTGGTCCTAAAATATGTTGCCACAAAGGAGGGTTTTTTAAAAACAAAAAACTTTGAAGTTATGGCCATCTTTCTTACTCGTTAGTAATCCGGCCTAAAAATACAAGTTTGCTACTTGAAGCAATATTAGAAAACAACTGCAAGTGAAAGATTTATAGACAGAATTATTGCATTTGGACACTGACACTGCATAACACCCAGGAAATGAATCAACAAGAGACTGTAACTTATATTTAAATTTTAGAGAGAAGCAGCAGGGAATGACTTACAAATAGGACCCAGTTCTAACAGTCTGTCAAAGGAGCAACAAGGTGTGGTTCCGAGTGTTGCACAAAACTGAAGAGAAAAACAAAAGGCAAAACTTTAAAATCAAATTTTCCAGCAAAGACAATTACCAACTGAGAAACAGCAAGCCACAAAGACCTCAAGGAATAGAAAGAACTCTGGTGATTTAGGACTTCTGAATACCCACACATAATTGCAGCCTTCTAATCAATACCTACCCAACAACTGAATTGCAGTGTGTCGTTCTGGATGCAAGATGGTTCCAGAGTTTATGGGAGTTTGCACCAAGGATTTTGATTCCACATATATCTCCAAACACTAATTTCAGCTACGCAGGTGTCAATCTATAATAGCTCTACTGAAGTCAATGAAATTCATTCTGATTTATGCTGGTATAACTGAGCTCAGAATGTGGTTGAAGGTAAGTTACTGGCGCTATCACAGGCTGGTGATTTTCTCACAGGCTCTTCTCTTCCAGGGTCATGCTAAACACTCAAAGTCAGCTTCCCTGACTCTTCCCTGTGTGTGTGCATCTCTCTCTTCTAAACTGTCTGCAGCACTCTGAACACAATGGGCCAAACGCAGATGTGATGTAAATAATGGAGGAAGTTTCACATTTGCAGGAAGCTATAAGTGGGTGAATGTAAGTTGTTGTAACTTCCCCTGAGAGGAGTAAAAATGAGGAGTGAAAGCAAGCAACAGGAGAGTGTAAGCTAAAGTGTGGGGGCTGCTTTATCTTGTATATTACTGTTATTCTGATCAACATATACAGGCCCAATGAAAATGAGGGCCCCTTTGTGCTAGGTGCTGTATATACACACATGGTGAGAGACAGTCCATGCACTGGAGAGTTTACAGTCTAAATATATATGGTAGACAAAGGAAGTCGTATTATTCCTACTTTGTAGCTGGAGAATTGAGGCCCAAAGTGATTAATTATTCCCAGGTCTCACAGGAAGTCTGTGGCAGGGCCAGGAATGGAACCCAAATGTCTTAAATCCCAGTCCAGTGCCTTAAACTAAAGAACATCCTTCTTAGTCTTGGTTGCTTCCCTTCAACAATCTTGTCCTTCTGGTTTGCCTTAGTCAATAAATTACACCAATTTATGCTCTCACAAATTTACCAACACGTAATCACAATGTGCAATGTGCCTGTACTCTAATAAAAATATCTATCAATAGAACATGCACATTTAATCGTCACCTAGTAATCCACCTTGGGAGTAATAGACGTATAGATGCAAACTAGTGAAAGATAAAAAAAGAACCAACCTAATGAACTTTTGCCCCTAACACATTCAAACATTTTTTTGAAGTCTGAAAGAGTCTGGTTATTTCCCCCCACCCCAAATCACCCATGCCTCCGACCTTCCTGTTTCTGCGTGGGACAGGAAACTAAGTGGTAAAATACAATGAGAAAGGCCAGAATACTGAAAGAATAGCCTAACTTGAAATGGGAAGTACAGGAAATCTGGCAGGATTTCTATTTGCAATTTGCAGACTTTAAAAGGTTCATGTAAGGAAAAGCAGCCTTCATTTTGGGTGTCAATCTGATGAGACCTTCCAAAACTTCCCATTACTAATATAAACATACAGTGGCATATCCATCCTTATTGAGTAGTTTTAAGTTTGCTGTTAAGTTGATTTGCGATTGGATTTATACCTAGAGCCTCAGTCTCCTCTCACTTAGGCTTTGGATAGACTAAGATTTAAAGGTTTGTTATTAGGCATTAGGAAACATGTTCTAATACCTTTAAAGAGTATAGTGTAGAACAAGCAGTGTATACTTTTAACACATGCTAAGTTAGACAAGTTAAAGCCTCGGTGCTTTTTCTCCTAAAGGAAAAAATTCTTTCAGTTAAATTTTTTAATGGAAAACTTCAAATGACTTGCAGAAAAAAGGCCATTCACTGTTCTTCAAATTTTGAGGGGAAATATTTGTTTAGCTCTGTAGGGGGCCAGGGTGGCTGCCCTCCGAACCTGAGGGTAAAGGGCCTTTCCCTCAGCCTGAGTGGGCGGGGCCAGCCCAAGCTTGCTCCACCCCCCGGAAGGGGAGGGGTGGAACAGGAAGTATAAAGGGCGGGGCCCTTAGCTCAGTTAGAGCAGCACCAGGGAGGGAGGGAGGCAGATGCAGACGCAGACCATGGGCTGCTCCCTTCAGACCCTGCTGCCACGCCAGGAGAGGCCCTGGACCAGTGGAGACCTCACCTGGAGGACGGACTGGGGCTGCCAGGACTGCCCGCTGCCGAGTACCCAGAGGAACTGGAGGAGCCGGAGGGGGAGCTGGAGCTGGAGCTGCCAGCAGCGGACTACCCCGACGCACTGGCGGGACCAGAGGGGTTCGGACGAGCAATCGGGTAGGAAGTAGCCCAGGGACAGAGCTGCACAGTGGTGAGTCTGTATTGCGGAAGGACGCCGCTGATCCAGTGGCGGGACCCTCGTCCTGCCACTGTCAGGGCCCTGGGCTGGAACGCAGTGGTGTAGGGTGGGCCTGCGTTCCCCTACCCGGCCTGAGGGGCGCGCTACTGACCTTAGCCGGCGCTCCCCGGCCTGAGGGGCGCGCTACTGACCTTAGCCGGCGCTCCCCGGCCTGAGGGGCGCGCTACTGACCTTAGCCGGCGCTCCCCGGCCTGAGGGGCGCGCTACTGACTCTGGCTGGCGGCCGCCCCGCCGCTAATTCCCCGCTGACGGAGGCGTGACCCAGGCCGGCCAGTGACCTCATAGCTCCCCACCGCCCCCTAACGGGTAGGTGGGTCGACGCAGATCACAAGCTCTCATACTAACTTAGAGGCCAGCAACAGAACTTCAAATGTCAATTTTGGTAACTATTGCACTGTTCATCAAAGCTTGCAAGAAAGGAGAGCAAATACTATGTTATGAGTAGGCTTTTAAAAACACAGGGCAATAGCCATCTCAAAACACATCTGCATCCATATTATATGTATCTCCAACAATAACGTTAATGTTCATTCCTGCTGGTACAGCTAGAAAAGAGATTTTTTGTGTGTGTTTATGTTTTATAGGAAGCACTCAGATATCATAGAGATGGCCAACCTAATTATACCTAGTAAAACAGTCCTCTGAGGGGGCCATATCCTGCCCTTGCATGACTTCATGCAGCCTTATAAAGCCATGAAAAAAATCACCTGACCAGGCACAGAACTTATTCCCTCAACCTGATCATGACAACAATGATAATTATAGGTTTCAGAGTATAGAATGATAATTATAAGGATATTCATATTTTAGTCAACCATAAAAGAATTGCTACGGGCAAATGGATGATTCAAATGTGGCAGGGCTGATCTAATAGGTCTTTTCAATCTAACTATTGTGAACCTTGTTTGGAAACAAATGAGGTTCTGAAAACAAAGGATATGGCAAACACATAGATATGGGGATTTATTCACACACCGAGATAGAATTGTGTACCAAAAGTAAGAGTTCTTAGCCTTATCCATATCACCATCCCCTTTCCATATTGGGAGCATCCTGTGTCCCACATCTCATTCAGAAATATGTGAAAGACAGGGTGTTTGTAGCCCTCTGGTCCCTGTTTGCAACCCCTCTTTAGGTTGAAGCATCCCAGGTATGAACCCCTGCCTTTAGGGATTATGGGGTACATTTTAAAAAGGGTTGAGGTGTGGTCTCTATTCTACTGGTGTAGTATGCACCCAGATCTTGTACCACAGATGAACTGAAAATGAACTAGAGTACTTGCATTGCTGGCTATTTGATTTGCTCCTATAGTCAGGAAGAGGCGCAGGTATCAGATCGGCACCTTCAGTTGAACTGTAGGTACAAAAATAGGGATGTAAATTGTGCAGGTGCAAATTGGGCCCTAAAAAAGACAGAGCACCTTTATGAAAATGGGGCTGTGTCAGTGCATGTGCACAAGTTGGCTCTAAAGAACAATGATTACAGTGTTCAGGTTACACGGTTAAGGACTCATGTCAGGAAATCCCAAAATTACTGTGGCACATGCAGTCATAACTCTGCTTCTTTGTACATATGTATTATAATTAGATTACTGGCCTTCACCAAGAGGGTGCAAGAGGGGTGTCAGTGGTTAGTGAGGGACAATAAAAGGAAGCAAGATTATTGCTGAGCTCAATTCAGCCAGCTGAAAGATACGGGTGTACTGGTGTCAGCACCATTATATGATTACACTAAGCTACAAACACGCTCTCTATAATCACTTTAAGGAATGTGCCATTATAATTAGAGATTGTATACATTCAATACATATGCTCAGTTGTTTGAATAATGGCTTGTTCCATAAAGAATGCCTCATCTGTTTAAATAATTTTAATGTTTTTTTCTGTAGGTGCATGAACCCCGAAGCCACCTGCATTAATTCCCAGAAACCACTTAAAGTAACAGCATCTGCTCTCTTCAGGGCTCTCATTACCTTGCATCAGTACTAAACAATGAATCTAACCCAATTTGTAACCCATATTACAACAGCATAATCACGTTTGTGCAGGGGGCCAGGGACAGGCTGCGTCTCAGAAATGGAACTGAGAGCTCTGAAGAGCCCAAGGCATTATCCTTTTCAGATCATGTTGTGTAAATATAACATAGCCCTTGCTCTGATGTAAAGCAGCCAGATGCTTGCGTCAGTCACCTCGTATAGTACTTTCCTGAGTACGACTAAACCTGCACATTTATAATGCCCTGCAGGTTTGTATTATAAAAACTCAGGGAGCACTGCTTCCACAACTTCCAGGAGACTGGTGTCCCAATGATACATAAAGGGGATTGCTCTGCCAACAGCTAGTATCTGCCTACTTGCATTTCTAGAAGTTAGCTATGTACGTTTTATGAGACTCAATAAAGGAATAGGGTTTATCATACAAAACCTACAGAGGTATCGAAGTAGTGAGATTATTGGTTAATGCAATGGACATAATAAGAAAACCAAGAAAGCTCATTTAATTTAAATATACTACAGCAGGGGTCAGTAACCTTTCAGAAGCAGGGTGCTGAGTCTTCATTTATTCACTGTAATTTAAGGTTTTGCGTGCCAGTAATACATTTTAACGTTTTTAG